TATGAAAACGGAAAAGTTTGTTTTTGCTTTAACTCGAGAACTACTGTAGCTACGGGGCTATATCTGGTTGCTTTTATTTGGGTCTGATACACCTAGGCCGAGAATCGGACCACGGCGGATGCCAGAGGGGGCGCTTTTGGGACACCCTGTAGTATACTGGTATACACTGGTTTGTTAGAGGGGAAGGGCGGGGCGGGGAGTATCGTCACCCGATCTTCGTGAATTTCAATTTTTAGGCTATTTTTTCTAGCTCACGAAGGTACCATGACATAGCGAGGGCAAAGGCATAGTAAAGCCACCCACAAAAAAAGTCCTTCAGCTAACGAATCAGCTCCTGTATTCCTAGGACCAAAAAAAAGAACGCTTTCCAGATTTACGACCCGTCCATTTCACCGGATTTTGTGGACGTGCGAAAGACGAGCCGCTACGAATACTACAAGTACGGCGGGGAACCCGTACGTGTCTTTGACTTTGAACCGAAAACTTAGAATGTCCCCCGTTGTGACGTCAAATCCGGTTGCCGAGATTCCGAATTTCCAGATTTGGGCGACGTATCGACGTCAGACGGGGAGACGCGTGTCCTGTCTATTCTATCCGGGATGTTACCATTATCCGGGTAGTCAATGGGGGGAATTCAACCACGCATAAAATCCGTTTTTCAGAAAACCGGCCGGATGTGACGGAGATTTTTGAGAATGTGCCAGTGGAAAAGGTGTTGAATAGGGTGAGTTTAAAGGGGTTGGGAAGCCGGGAAAGGTCTAGTTTTCGAGGGAAAAAAATAATTATCGTGTCTATTACACGCATATCTTCATGGGAAATACGGAAAAAAATCCATAGCGTTCGGAGAGGCTTGCTTTTAAAGGAGCATAGAAGGCTGGTCCGCTCGGTCAGCTCTTGATTTCTGGCAAGTGGCCAGATGAGGGGCCCAACGCACTGCGCCGCACGTGTTTTTGTCCCTATTTCGACGTGAAAATGGGTGAATTGGAAAATGCTACTACTGAACGATTTCAAACTCGTTAAGCCGTCAAAAATCTAATCAAATATATACAGGCAAAATCCGTCAAGATAAAGCTATGTTCAGCCTTTTTAGGTAGCTGAAGAAATCCTAAAACCACGCGCAATACGGCCAGGGCTGGTGATTGGATATTCAAATGAACCGGACGAGACGCGCCACTTGGTGCAGAGCGACTCGCCAAAGGTTGGGTTTTAAAGGCGTGTGCCAGTCGAGTCTTCATTTTTCTTCCGTATAACTCTGAAGAGAAGGCCAACTGCAATTTGCCTTTTTGAGCTCTAGACATCCCTGAAAAATCTTTTAGCTTACAGCCATCCTCGAGAGAATCGATCAAGCTATTGGGGATTTCTTCAATGTTCTTCACAAAGCCAAACGACTCCAGTGCACGAATATCATTTTTATTTCGGACCATGGTGGGTCATTTCAGCGTTAAAGGGGACCACAAGGGTTGATTATAGATTTTCGATTCTACAATACCCTTTTTCGATAGGTTGATCTACAAATTGCTATTTCTGAAATGTCAAACTAGGAGTATATCCCAATCAATTAAAATCTTTATCCAAAAATCCATAGCCATTCCTTGTTGGCCGGTGTAAAGAGGCTGTTTGGGTAGCCCTAGGCAGCGTGTTTACGTACCTTCCTGGCGCCTTTAAATCCTACTTCCAGGCTTCATGAACCAAAACCAAGTCCTCAACGCGACACAGCTCGAGATTCCGAGCAAATACGCAAATGCTGATACCGTAGCCAGATTCTATTTGAAAGAAGGGGCCCCGGAAAGTGGGGAGATTTTGAAGAAATTGGGATCGGACCCGGAGCGGACTTCGTTTTTGGCCTACAACCGCTCGACACTGCCACCAAGGTATGGGAACACTACCGCGTAATTTTTTGATCCATTCTCGGTGTGGTACCCTAGCATGCATTCCTTTTACGACCTTCAGGTTCCATTACACGGTCTCGAAACGCGTGGGCGACATCGTGGTCACGGCCGCCCGGGAGAAACGATTTGGCCTGTAGGAAAAAAATCGTGGTATTCCGTGCAAATCCTGTTTACAGATATCCGTATCCGGCTAAACCGCGGATAATCGTGGCCAGCAATCATGGATGGGATTATATTATGCCTGAGGTACGTTTGCGGCAGAAGTCAGACGGAATTGACAGCCATTTAATAATATAAAGCGGAAACCGAGGCCATCAAAAAATTTTATATTTATTTTGTAAGCTAGTACCATATTTTCAGATGGAGATGATCTTCTTCGCGATGGGACCCGACTTTCTACGCGGCCACATTTTGGCCCCATTCCAGAATACGGAATACTATAACTTATTTGCAGGTAGAACGGTTCCCATGGAAAGTCGCATCTTTTAGAAATCCTCAAAATTAAGCCCGAGCCGAATAATGGCACTCAAGGGATTTTAAGTACTGCTTTAAAAAATAGGGATGAAGCTGTAGATCCAATCTATGAGAATATGAAGACGATACAGTAACTTTTTACGTTTTGAGAAAATCATAATTTTTAAGCCCTTGTTCTGGAGAAGCGTCGAGCGTTATGAAAAACTTTCTGAAACAAGAAAATGGCCTAGATTATTGCTATCAAAAACCTGACGACAAAAGTTACCACTTGGAGGCACCTGGAAGTAAGCTTATCCCAAAAATTAAGGTTTTCTCTGTAATTCAGGAAAATCAGTGGTTGAAATCTTAACGAAAAACGACCTAAAATACGATCCGGAAAACATGGATTTTATCAGGAAACTGTTTCCAAGTGAAATATCCCTGGCGGCAGGACCAGGTAAGTAGCTCTAAAATCGTAAAAAGCTTCTCTACAGTTCAGAATGCCGTTAATTCACTGAAAATCACGGTAAGTCCCGAATTTCGGGACTCCCTTTGGAGAGCAGTCGAAAGGAAGACGGCGGAATATTTGCAAAAATATGATACTTTGCTGGGCATTTCTGGGTGGATTGAGAAGCCGCACGAGTAAGTTGGAGCTCCGGCTCTATCTCTCTCTCTCTCTCTCTCACTCTCTCTCTCTCTCTCTCTCTCTCTCTCTCTTTCTCTCTCTTTATCACTCTCCCACTATCTATCTCTCGCTTTCTCGCTCTCTCACGCTCTCTCTCTCGCTCTCCCTCTTGCTCTCTCTCTCTTCTCTTTATCTGATTTTTTCTTTTTCAGTCACATCCAAGCCTACTTCTACCGTATCCTGGTCCGATGTGAAGATGGCAATTGGGATCTCGACAATCACCATTGCGAAAATAGCCACGCAACGAAAGCGCTCGCATTTTTGCTACCGTACCCTTTCGAAAACTTCAACATTATGGTATCGTTACACCGAAATTTTCAAGTATTATTTAGGATTCCGAGCAGCTACTTCTCGAATATACGGCCCGAATAAAAGATCTCGAAGTTGTCAGTGGGCTGCGCTTCTTTACGGACACCGAAAAATTTGCGTATTTTGATGCGATTCAATTGAAAACCGAAATAATTACACGTTTATGGTAATACGCAATTTTTCGGAATAAAAGATTAAATTTTCGAATCGCATACCGGAAAATAAACAAGAGAAAAGAAGGGGGATGTAAAGGCAACTAGCCGAGATTATTTGAAAAATTGGAACATTGTTCGTTGCCTATTTCTTATAGTCGACAATCTGCCTTCTTTGCCAAAAATCCATAACAGCTTGGAGCATCACATTCTCATAAGCCTCGAAAGCCGTATTTACTGAAAAAATCGAATTTTTTGGCTTTGTTACTTTTTTACCCACCTCCTTTCACCTAGAGCCAGAAAGTATCAAGGCGTATGTACAGGGCCAGAAAGTAAGTGAAAGGCAAATGAAAATTATGCGAAATGCTCGTTATGCGAAATGACGGTTCGGGGAAATGTCGTTAGGCGTAATAAGCGTTATGCGAGATCACCGTTATACGGTATAAAAATTATGCGAAATTCAATTATGCTAAATAGCGTTATGCCAAATGGTAATTATGCAAGATGAAGAAAGACCCTCCCACTCGCACTCTCGCTCCCACTCATCCTCATTTTTCTGTCGCACTCTCTCGCTGTCTCTCTTCTACTCTCTCACCCTCACTCCCTCACTCTCGCACTCTCTCACGCTCTGACTCTCACTCTCTGACTCTCACTCTCCCAGTCTCTCGCTCTCTCACTCTCTCACCGTCTCTCTCTCGCTCTCTGGCGCTCTCTCACTCCCTCACTCTCTCTCCCCCGCTTCCAAATTGTATTTTTTCAGCACCACGGCGCCCGTCACTCGGCCAACCACAGCGGATTTCCGTCCCCGCGTCGCCCCACCCTTGCGGAAGCCGGCCACGCTCGCCTCGACGAGCTGTACCCGGAAGGTAACATTTTTATGGATTCTCTCCCGCATTCTCTCGATAGTAAACTGCCAAACCACAAAACCCGTTTATTCAAATCGCCATGGTCACATTAAGAAGATAGAAGAAGTTACGTCGGTAGATAGAAGCACTGCACGATACTGTAACTAGATCACGGCGAAATCACAATACGTTACGAGTAATGTTAAAAAAGATGAGTTTAAACAGGCGAAATGAGGGAAAGAGGTAGGCTTTTTGTTCGTCTTCTTATCGCGGCCAGAAACCCTTTCTCTCAATCTTCTCGCAGAGCTGGGTCCTCGTACCCGTGGCCTTCCCAGCGGCGCCATGCGCAAACAGTACATCGGCCTAAAATTTGGTCGGTCGAAGGGCTTGTCGATAAAATTTACCTCGGCCCCGGCAAGTACAAATGCGGCTCTCCAGCAGGTTGTACTTCTCGAGCGCTTTTCTGAGAACGATGGTTTCATTGTTGGATGATTTCATGAACTCACCTCAACCCACGCACACAGACCCTACACACCCCGGCACCAAAATCGTATCGAACGTCTTTGAGACCGGCAGCAGCAGTGCATCGGGCGCAGTGACCTTTCGAATACAGAACCAGGGGACGGCCCATTTTCGAGGCCGTTTTCTGAAAATTGGCGCGTTTTCAAGGCTGCTGGATGACAATCTAGACCTACTGCTACAAAAAATGCAGGAAAACACGACCTTGACCGAAACGAAGGAGGCGATGCTTGTGGCGCTAGAGGACGAGAGCGTGCCCATGCTGTCGAGATCGGTGAGTCCTAAAAAATCGAATTTTTTCCGGGCCCGATAGAATCTCTGCTGGCTTGCTCGCCCGTTCTTTCATTTTTATTTCATACCAGCGCCCAAAACCCGCTTCGCGGGCCTTGGGCGCGGGAACGGGCCTTTGGATGAGAAATTTGACTTTCCGATAGCTTGGGTCCTTCGGACCCCCTCCCTTCATCCGACCACACCCGCGCGTGCAACTTGCAAGAATGAGGAAATTTGTATTTTTTGGAATTATGCAAAGTAGCCATCCCAGGCGCCGGACACACACACAAAGATACGCGACCAAATTATATAAGGTAGGATTTTAAAAATGCCGTTCGATAGAGGAAACATACCGTCGGTATTCTCGACCTTGGTGTCGGTGTAGGAGAGGGCGTTGCGCGAGAGTTCAGCCGGGTGGTTGTCGTAGGCGCTCAAGTCAGTGCTGAGAGACGACGTCGACAGGGCCGCACATCCGGCCAGCACATCGGCGGTGTAGGCAGTCGGACCCTAGAAAAAATTGTATTCCATGAAGTCGTCGGCTCGCTGACCTCGCTGATATCATTCTGCGACTTGGCGGTGTCGTCGAGCTGTTCGTCGGATCCCTCCAGGGTGATGTCGCCCTCCTGGGTGACGCTGGCCTTGTCGTTCGTCGCACGACAGGTGGTAGCGGCTGGGGAGATCGGCTAAAAAGAGGTGTACTGCTTGAGAAGCCCGGGGCTGTTGACCTCCTTGATGACGCCGTTGCTGAGGACGTCGAGCTGTTCGAGCAGTTCGTCGGGTATCTGCCTGGCGGTCCGACAGTCGCCGATCGACACGGCCAACAGCTGGCGGGCTGTGGGGCAGGCCGACGAGGCCAAGGAGGGCGAGGAGGGCGTACGGTCGGTCGGCTCTGGCGATGACGTCGCGGACTGCCCCTGCTGCTGAAGATGATGCTGGCCTTAGATCGCTCAAAGCTGCGTATACCTTGTCGATGACGTCGCCAGTGATGTGAATGACCGGGACGACAGGTTCCCCGTCCTTGGCGGCGAACTTGTCGAACTCGTTGGCCGTCTCGGTGGCGACGACGCGCCGGCTGATGTGCCACCACATCTCTTCCTGAGACGGTTCTGAGGCGCGCGTCTCCTCCATCGACGGCCCCATGGTCATGTGCGCCAGGGCGTCGGCCTGGAAATGAACATGAGCGAGAGAAAAGAGAGAGAGAGAGAGAGAGAGAGAGAGAAACAGTCGACCAACCCGAGTTTGGGCTTTCATCATTTTTCAGCAACGACACAACAAATGATGTACCAACCGAGTCCCGCGCGAAGCTTCCGGGCTGCTGCGAGTCGCTCACGTCTTCAATCATCGATAAACTCCTGTAGTGCCTTCGCACGAGGTCCCCATTCGTCATGTCCTGAAAAATGGCAGTTGCCACAACAAGCTTGAGAAATTACGTTGCATGGCTGGAAGCAGGAGTTTTCGTAATGAGCGGGCGAGAGAGAGAGAGAGAGAGAGAGAGAGAGAGAGAGAGCATGAGAGAGCATGAGAGAGGATGCAGGTAAACACGACCTGGAAGGACACGAAACTGGTCCTGCTGGCTGACGAGCCGAACGAATGGACACTTTCCTGATGGTAGGTCTCTAAAGAAATCGAATTTTTAAGGCCAAGCTACGAAACGATGGATTTTTCCTGGGTTTGAAGATTTTTCATTTTCGTTTCATATTTTAAAAATACCGTTCGATAGAGGAAACATACTCTCGCAATTGTCGACCAGGGTGTCGGTGCAGGATAAGTCGTCGTAGAGGGCCGCGTGACGGACCCCGTCTGGCTGAAAAAATACAATTTTGGAGAGGGGTGGAGCGAGAGAGAGCGAGAGAGAGCCAGAGAGAGATAGAGAGCGAGAGAGATAGAGAGAGAAGCAGACGACCAACCCAAAGCAGCCTGCGGCGGTCGTTGAACTTGTTGGTGTTGTCGGTGCTGGTGAGGTTCTCGTGGGAGGTGAAGGTCGACGCCGAGTCGTTCATGTTCAGCTTCATGCTGGTCAGGGAGTAAACCGGCTCACGGGGCAGGAGGATGCCTAAAAAACGAATTTTTTGGATATCCAGAAGAACCTCTGCTAGATTGCCCTGAATTTTGTCGCAAGGACAAGCTAGCAGAAAGCATTTAGGAAAGCCTTAAAAATTATACCTTCCGGATACAGTTCCTCAAGGCGATCGTGGCCGGCTTGCTCGGCAAGGGTGGCGCGGCGCGGCGAGGCGAACCCGCTGTGGTTGGCCGAGTGACGGGCGCCGTTGTGCTGAAAAAAAGCAAATTTGAAGAGCGGGCGTGAGAGTATGGGAGCGAGAGAGAGAGAGAGAGAGAGAGAGAGAGAGAGAGAGAGAGAGCGAGAGAGGGAGAGAAAGAGAGGGAGGGATATTTTGATCGCATCCCCCCACCCCATAATGTGGAGGAGCCCAGCAAGAGTTGCACCAACCGTTGAACTGCTCCAGGCGTCGGGGAGTATCATCGATGGCATAGATGAATCCGAGGCTTCGGCCGAGCCGCGGAAGCCAGCCACCTTCGGGGTCGACGTCAGGAGCTTAAAGATGTTTCTTTTTACCACCATTTCGTGAGTAGGAAGGCGCAAAGAAAGGCGAGCGGGAGAAAAAGAGAGCTAGAGGATCTACCGGTCGGAAAATGTTGCATTTTTTGGAAGTGGAGTCCTCGGGGCCGACCGGCCGGCAGAGAGACAGAGAGAGCTAAAAAGTGGTGTACTGCTTGAAAATCCTGTGGCTGCTGACCTCCGCGTTGACACTGTTGCCTCCAGCCACCGACAGCTGGCGGGTGGTCGGGCAGGCCGACGAGGAGTAGGAGGGCGAGGGAGGGGTACGGTTGGTCGGCCCTGCCGACGACTTCGCCGGCGGCTCTTGCGGCGGAGGTGTTTCGAACGTCGAGGCACCGCCGGTACCAAAGAACCCCGGCATCTGAATCAAGACATTATAGGATTGAAGCTGATCACTCGCCGGTGGCATTGGGTCGAGTTGCATCGGTTGCCAGAGGCCGGCGTGCACTGCCGCATTCGCTGTCAGCGTTTGGAATAGGCTGTAGGCGTACGGCAACGCGTCATCAGATTTCGTCTATAATCATGGTTTCAAGCAATGACACCACCTGCCTATTATAGACAATAGTCGTGTTGAGGAAATTTTATAGATAGATATAGATGAAAATTTGTGACTTGTGTCAATTTAGCTCATTTACAAAACCTTAGTTAGAAATTCTAAGTATTACAGAAAGAGACAATACTATAAAACCAAAAACCACCATGCAGGGTTTATCAAATTTGGTAGGTTTACAAGCATAGCTATCTAATAAGATATCTCGTAGTCCTGAAGAAGATATGGGCCCCAAACCTACATGCAGTTTGAAACTGCTGTAGGCGCGCGCAACCGCTTTCCGCTTGTTGATCCATGCTTGTATCATGAGCGTCCGCATGCGCGTCTGTACTCGTTTGTCAACTGCAAGATTTCTAACAAATTGCTTGCTAAAAAAACAAATGTTTAAGCTTGAATCAAAGTTCTAAAATTTTAAAAGAAGTTGGCCAAATTAGGTCGGGGAGGGAGAATGCTGGATCGGCGGTTTTGGGACTTGTAAATCCTCCACAAAAATGTAGAAAAAGAATTAAAGTAAGTAAGTAATTAAAAAATGTAGAAAAAGAATTAAAGTAAGAGTCTAGGAAACCCCCGCCCCCAGCCGACACCTAGTTTTGTATCTCGCCCTCCCCCCTTGGATCTAGCGAGCTCTAAAATATACCAAATTGTTCGCAGTAGACTAATCAGTCAGAATACATTGCATTTTAATCGAAAAAGTAGCGAAAAATAAAAATAGGGATGGTAGAAAAGTTTTAAAGTAGGCTGGGGGGCTTCCTAGACTTTAGCCCTAATTAAACCAATATTACACTTGAATGCTGGGATCATACGTTGTTCGATTTCAGATATTTACAGACTGCTTCAAGACAATTTGATCATCAACGATGCTGACTTGTAAAAGTCGGTGAGTGTAGTGAGGCGTAAACGATGCAAATTCAAACCCCGTAACCGGCCAAAACAAAAGCAAACTAGGGGAATATTTCAGTTGCACCTGAAATAGTTGTTCCGCATTCCAGCTTCGATACCGCGCCGCCAACTGCTCGACTTTGACGAGGCGAGCGGCCGTCTTCTCGGTTAACTCTTCGGTCGTCAATCCAACTTCGAGAGGCTTCTGCAACAAATGATACTGAAAGGTACTACTCAGGGTTACCTCCGTCAAGATTGCAAACTGTTCATCCACGGACTTCTCGGGCCCTTCCACCGCCGCGAACACTCGCAACTTGGCCGAGCTCTCTAGGTATAAGAGCTGCTGGACTCGACGTTCAAGGAGGCTCTGTAGCAACTCCTGAAAAATAGTTGGGACCAAGTTCTACTGAGAATGCCAACCAAAAATCGAAAATGCAAACGTACCGCCTCAATATGCTCTTCGTACGCAAGTTGCTCCTCCCGTTGTGCCTTTTCCAACTCGAGTGTGACGTCGAGCTGCCTCTGTTCAGCGTGATGGAGAGAGACGGGCTGAATAAATTTTTGTAGGTCCGGAGCAACAGCATGGTAATCGGTTACAGGACCAGCCTGCAAAAACATCCGCCGTTAGAAACTAAAGACAATTTCACCGGCGTGGTTCGACCCTCCAACGCGGTCGTGGCAAATCAATTTACCGTGCAGCACAGAAGCGCAACTCATCTAAACTACCCACCAAAGCGTCGTCCATGTTGTAAGGGACGACGGGTGGGTGGTAGTGGGTAAGTTAGTGGAATGAATGTGTATCTGTCGGGTGGCTCTGCTTTAAAGGCAATGCTAATTTTGAAAATGGAAACTACTCTGAAAGCTTCACCGAAGCATTGTCCCAACTTCATTCAAATTTCTACCAGATTTTATTTCAACATGCCCTAAAAAAGAAGGTAACAAGCGGCCCGGATGATATTGCAAAATGGGGAATATACATGTGAGAAGTATTAAGGGAAAGGGTGGCCTTATTTCTCGGTGGCCTCGGGGTTCATTTGCTCCATCAGCTCGTCAACCATGGCTTCAATCGTAGAGACGATGCCCTTGTCGACGATCAGGTGTGTCTCGTCGAGCTCCTGAAAAAAAAATATAATGAACGGCCCAGATTAGAGCGTATGAAGCCTGCCTTTCACTAGCCGAACAGCGAGAAAAAGCAATAAGACCGACGCCCGCTAAAATCTGTGCAAATCACCTTTACAATGAATTGGCTGCCGAGCGCCCGCGTCTCATCGAGATGGACGAGCAGCTTTTGCATCGCCGGCTCGCACGTCTTTCAATAACAGATATCCTTATCCGGCTAAACCGCGGATAATCGTGGCCAGTAATAATGGATGGGATTATATTATGCTCAGTTAAGTAATAAAAGCGGGGCGGCACGTACATATTTATGCGCTAGGTTCGCCGCCGCTATAATTCCCTTGCGCAACGAATTAAGCCAATCCTAATCCATTACGCAACGAAAATTTAGATTGACGCGTTGCCGGTTGCCGCGCGGTAAAACTCAGAGGGAATCGACGGCTATTAAATACTATAAAGCGGAATCCAAGACCGTTGAAAAAGTCAAAAATCAATAACTAGGAAATTGGGTGTAATGACGGCACCATAACATAGGGATTTCAATTGCAGATGGAGATGATCTTCTTCGCGATAGGGCCGGACTTTCGACGCGGCCAAACTTTGGCCCCCTTCCAGAATACGGAGGATTATAATTTATTTGCAGGTAAAGGGGTCCCCATCGAAAGTAGCGCCTTTTGGAAATTCTCAAAATCAAGCCCCAGCCGAATAATGGCACTCAAGGGATTTTAAGCTCCACTTTGAAAAATACAGATGAGATCGTAGATCCAATTTATGAGAAAATGAAAACGATACGGTATTTTTTTGCGTTTCATAAAATTATAAATTATTTAGTTCCTGTTCTGGACGTGCCGCCAACTCTATGGAAAACTTTATAAAACAAGACAATGGCCTTGATTACTGCCATCAAAACACTGACGATAAAAATTACTACTTGGAGGCACCTGGAAATAAGTTTCTTATAAAGATTAAGGTCCTCTGTATTTTAGGAAAATCAGTGATTCAATTCTTGACAAAAAACGACTTGAAATACGATCCGGAAAACATGGATTTTATCAGGAAACTGTTTCCAATTGAAATATCCCTTGCGGCAGGGCCAGGTAAGTAGCTCTAAAATCGTAAAAAAGCTTCTTTACAGTTCAGAATGCGGTTGAATCGCTGAAAATCACGGTAAGTCCCGAATTTCGGGATTCCCTTTGGAGAGCAGTCGAAAGGAAGACGGCGGAATATTTGCAAATGTATGAAGAGATGCTCGTGATTTCTGGGTGGATTGAAAGGCCTCATGAGTAAGTTTGAGCTCTTGCCCTCTCACACTCTCTCGCTCTCTCTCCCGCTCTCTCTCGCTCTCTCTCTCTCGCTCTCTCTCACTCTCATATCTCTCTATCTTTCACCATCTCTCTCTCTACTCTCTCTCTCACTCTCTCTCTCTCCCCCCTTTGTCTGATTTCTCCTTTTCAGCCACATCCAAGCCTACTTCTACCGTATCCTGGTACGATGTGAAGGCGGCAATTGGATGTCCGACAATCGCCATTGCCAAAATAACCAAGCAACGAAAGCGCTCGCATTCTTGCTGCCGTACCCATTCGAAAATTTCAACAAGATGGTATCGATTTGCACAGGACCTTTTATGCATTCTTTAGGATTCCGAGCAGCGACTTCTCGAATATACGGCCCGAATTAAGGATCTCGAAGTTGTCAGTGGGCTGCGCTTCTTTACGGACACCGAAAAGCTTGCTTATTCCGATGCAATTCAGCTGAAAACCGAAATAATAATACGTTTATCTTGATTAAGTGATGAATACATTGATTGAATCCAAGAACTACGCTGCTCCACTGTTAGCGGTTGTCTGACCGAGTCGACTACGACTCGTATGTCATAATGTCGTCAAGGTCAACAATCTTGCTCTTTGCCCAAAACGCCGCGAACGCATCGAGCATCGTTTGGTAAGAGTTTACTTTACCCCCCCCCCCACAGCCGAAGGGTCTCAAAGTTGTCGGTATTTTCGCTTATTTTGTCGGGATTTTTGCAACGCCATTCGATAGAGCGTCGAAAATATACTAAGAGTTTTAATTTGAGCCAACAATAATGTAAAATAAAAAAGTTATAGCCAAAAACTTCCGGCTGGGGGGGGGGGGGTAAAGTAAACCGTAGCCGAATTAAGGTTATTCGGGATAAAATGAATTCTGTTAGTACAACGAAAACGAGAAAAAAAACACATTATCCAAAGAAAGAATGAATAGGCGTAACGTTTACCGCCTAATTAAAACAACGTTAATTTCGCCGGAAAGGGAGACTTTCATCCGGGCCACGTTGACGCGAACGGACGCGATGCGTGGCCCTGCGGAAACGATTTTCCCAGACGCGTCCACGGGAGCCGCATCGAACTACAGGGTGCCCCAAAAAAGTACCCCCTCTAGCGGCGCGGAGGAAACTCGGATCGGGCTGATTTTTACACCATTCGAATGCTTGCAAAAGGGCGAGAATACAAGCGGATTTCGTTTTTTCAGATTTCCGCTCATTTCAGTGACATTTAACGCTTCAAAAAAAGCGTGCATTTTTTCAACGGGAATTTCGCAATTAGCATGCAAATGTTGCATAAATCAGCGGTTTTGATGGTTTTTGGACGTAAAATGCGCAAATAAAGAGACATCCTACTATATATAAAAAAATAGTGTTTGTGTGTGTGTGTGGCACTTTGCATGCAACTTCCGTCAGCGTGTTCCAGCAGTATCTCAAGAAGGAGGGTAGCTAGGAGCATGTTTGATACATCATTAGGAGCGTAATGGTCTGGGGATGACTGCACGCATATCAGATTTATCAAAATCGCCTATTTTCGCCATTAAATTTTAGTTTTTGTTGAAAAATCCGAGACACTCTTTGTTAGGAAGCAATTAGCATACACCGGAAGTGCGGGTAGCCTATATAAAGGAGCAGAGAGCGCATTTTTCATTTTTTTCAACCTGGGGCGGGCCGAATTATGCAAAGTAAAAACTTTCATTGGTCGAAAACGGGGCCAGGGGTGAAAAGTCGCGAAGCGGCTTTTCAACCCTGGTAATAAAAAAAATAAATCCTCCTTGTTTTCTTGCCTTTTCGAGAGCTTTCGATGGATACCTAAATCGTGACAGTCGGACATGACTGCGCGCCACCAGGGGGGTACTTTTTTTGGGACACCCTGTATATATAATATTATGTACTAAGAGATAAATATAATATTATGTATCACAATTACTATTCAAATATTGCGGGTTTTTTTAAAGATGGATCCTCTTCTCGTTGCCCAAATTAACGCAGCGTGTCGCGAGCAGTAAGTTTAGTCTCCGCGGGATTAGCTTGGCATTGCAACGATTGACAACGAATCGCCTTTTGTAGCAATATCGACGTGTCTTTCGCGCTCGTCAACGGCAAATTGCTGTGCAAGTTCAAGGAGGTAGAAAAATTTATTTGCAGTAAACTAAAAAGCCTCGGGGCAAAAGTGGGACCACTTGATAAAACCGGAAAATTGGGTTCTGGACTGTTAGCGGGGGGTGTAGCAGGGGAAACCACTTTTTGTTGTTCCAGCTATACATCCCTATTGATGATATATCCTACTATATATATAAAAAAATAGTGTTTGTGTGTTTGTGTGTGTGTGTGTGCCACTTTGCATCCACTTCCGTCTGTCTGTCCGGAGGATATCTTGATAGAGGATGGATTTTAAAGTACGTATGATACGTCATTAGGTGCGCAATGGTCTTGGGATGACTGCACACCTAACAGATTTTACAAAATTATCGATTTTCGACATTAAATTTAAGTTTTTGTGAAAGCTTCTTTGTTAAAAACAATTAGCATAGACCGGAAGTGGGGACGCGACATATAAAGCGGAAATGATTTTGCAATCTGAATTTAGGACAAGTATGCAAAGTGAAGCATAAAAAGGGTTCAGACGGGGGCCAGGGTTGAAAAGTCGCGAAGCGGCTTTTCAACCCTGGTTTTATCTAATTTTATAGTGTTTTCCGCGGTTTTTGTTGACCTAGAAAGGTAACACAGTATTATTTAATTTTGAAAATTCGCAAATTTTGACATTTTTTTGTCACATTTCATACATTTTTGACCAAAAATTCAAAACTGTTCGCAACTTTTTTAATCTTTTTTATCTGGAAAAACTATGTAAAATGCTATAAAAATGTTTTAGATTTGGTTATAGGGCTGCAGAGAATCACAGGGAAAAATTCAGTTCCCCCGCTAAAAATCCCTCCCCCCACTAACAGTTCAGAACCGGTTTTGTTAATTGGCCTCTGTATGCTTTACTAATCGCCATCATTTCAGGAGAAGTTTGCGAACGCCCCGCCCCCGTCGCGCCGCAGCTGGCCGCCACCACCGACGGCCCGCCGACCCCCCGCCCATCGACTCCGCGACCGGCGGTTTCCCGGCCGGCCAGCCCCCGCCCGGCGACCACATCGGTGGCGCGCCACATCAGGAAGCAGATGGAGCGGCCAGTCGCCCGATCTGCGTACCAGGTGGCGGCCATCGCCAAGAAGGAGGTCCGCTCGAAGAAGGAGGCTCCTTAGGTATGATGGGGCTTGGTACTGTTGTATCAAGGGGGAGGGGGCGGGAGTTGGAAGACGTTGTTCTCTAGCCTGCGCAAGAATCCTACTCTATATAAAAAATAGGGTCGGTGTGTTCGTGTTTGTCCGTGCCGCTTTGCATGCAAAATCCGTCAGTGTCCGAGCAGTCTCAAAGGTATTTATGAATGATACGTCATTAGCTGCGTAATGGTCTGAAGATGACTGCGGACTATTAACATTTTCAAAGCTGAACTATTCTCGACGTTAAATTAAGTTTTTTTACGGAAAAATCAATTTTACAAAATTTTTTACAAATTACAAAAATTTTACAAAACCTTAATTTTAATGTCGAAAAATGCGGTTTTCGTTAAAACTGACATGTGTGTGCGGTCACCTCAGGGCCATTAGACACCTAATGACGTATCGAGATATCCTCCGGACAGACAGACGGAAGTCGAATGCAAGGTGACACACCTATTATATTGTATATATATATATATAGGATCTCCATCAATTTCAGCCCGGCCACAACGTCATCATCAACAACAATAACAAGCCGCACTTCTTCGGCGTGATGCTCATCTTCACCATGGCGCCCACTCGAATCGAAATATGAAGACAAACATCCATGATTTATTTATTGGCGTTTTGTAACTATTTAATAAATATTACTTTCGAATAAAGGGAGTGAAATAGAAAGAGAGAGCGAGAGAGAGAGAGAGAGAGAGAGAGAGCGAGAAGAAGGTGAGACGTGGATGTCACTTTCGAGGCCCGATTTGAAGGCCTTCCCTTGTGCAAAACGCCCTAATTCACCGTGATTGGGGGGAACCGACCCTCCTCTTTCCGATGGCTTTTTCAAATTTCGAGTTAAACAGTTTAAAGTAAATTAAAACCGGTTTATTCTTTTTTCGGGGTCAGGGAAGGCAGAATAATTTGCATACAAATTTCCTCACTCTTGCAAGTTGCACGCGCACGTGTCGTCAGTGGTGTCCTACGGACTGGGAGCTACCGGAAGCCAAGTTCCTCATGCAAAGGCTGCAATCCAGCGCGTAAGGCCCGCGTAGCGGGGTTCGGGCGCCGATTTTTTTCAATATTTATTTTAAAAACGAAACAAGCATCCTAGATTTGCATTCCAGCAAGGAAAATTTACGCAGCATATTGATGAATTTTTGCAGTTGTCCATTCGGAATCGTCTGAGGCAGCCGCTTTCTTTCTCTTCGCTGTTGTCGGCGGCGCATTCCTTTGGTAGTTTTCCATTGCAGGGTTAGATAAGGGCGGCTTAATGCGCATGAGTGGATTTTGCGGCTTCACTCTGGTTTTCAGGGTGAAGCATCCGTGCCCGGCGAACTGATGGCGCGCCCCCCTTCCGGCAACGAAGAATTCTTCTATAATGTCGAGCTACTAGCTGAATCACTATTCCCCGGGCCGCCCACCATCTGCGACGACGTCGAGCGCCCAACGACCACCGGTTAGTAATATGGGAAAATTCTACTTTACGGTATGTTCCCAAAATGTCAGTTTTTCGGCTGGAATCGATGCAGCTCGACCAAGCAAAAATGCGATGATTTTCATCAATTTTGGTGTATATTTTCGAAAGCCTATAACTTTGTCCAGAAGCGTTTCCCAATCGTTTTCTCAACTGGAAACGCACAAACTCATCGAGCTGGATCGATTCCAGTCGAAAAATCGTCATTTTGAGAACATACCGTAAAGTAGAATTTAGCCAGTAATATTGCTGGCCTATACGACTGTCCGACAGCGGCCCTTACAAGGGAACCACGTACGGTTAAGGTGGCGTATCGGGATCGGTCCCAACCTACCTTGTCTACAGGGTGGGTAAGAGTCTAGAAACCCCCCAGCCGGCACCAACTTTTGTATCTCGGCCCCCTTTTGTGCTAGCGAGCTCTAAAGTATACCAAAATGTTCGCCGTAGGCTAATTAGTAAGACTACATTGCAGTTCAGTCGAAAACAGTAGAGAAAAATAAAAATAAGGAAGGTAGAAAAGTTGAAAAGTCGGCTGGGGGGGTTTCCTAGACTTGAGCCACAGCCGCCTAAATCTCCCCCCGCCTATAGGAAGAGTCCCGAAATTTTTACCGGTATGAAAGACCCATAAAAACGATATGAAGCCGAATTTTCGAAGCAAAATATTGTAAAACAAAAAAGTTACAGCTCCCTTGAATTTTATTTTGCCGACCAGCGCCCAAAACCCGCTTCGCGGGCCTTGGGCGCTGGAATGCGGCCTTTGCATGAAAAGTTTGACTTTCTGATAGCTCGGGTCCTGCGGACCCCCCCCCCCGCCCCGACCACACGCGCGAGTGCAACTGGCCAGAATGAGGAAGTTTGCATTTTTTCGCATTATGCAAATTAGCCTTCAGGTACCCCCAAAAATCAATAAAACCGCCTTTAACTTTGTAAACTTGTATTTTATCCAAATTCTGAAAACGCCATCGGAAAGAGGAGGGTCCATTCCCCCGGGTGACGGAGAATTAGGGCATTTTGGACACGGGAAGGTCCTCAAATCGGGCCTCGAAAGTGACATCCACACACACACACAGAGATACACTCCAAAATTATATAAGAGAGGATTTCACTAAGATTTTGGATGGACTTGGGCCTCGAAATGTTTAGCAAAAATGAAGAGCGCACTTTTTCCACCCGCAGAAATTTTTTGATTTACGAAATTACATCTAAATTTGGACTTTTCATGACTTTTTTTATTATCAAAACCAGCGGGGGAGGAGCCGCTTCGCGACTCTCCCCCGCTGGACCCCGTCTAGGATCTATGAATCGAGCGCCCTTACACATAAAGTTACACGGAAGAAAGAAAAACACATCTCCCATGCAAACCTCTTTGTATTGACATGCGGCGCAAGCTTAAATTGCTAGTGTCGTTATTAGGCCTGCGGCGCATGCTTGATCGGCCAGGTCCTTATCCAGCGCCCCGAGCTTGAGCGGTTTGCTTCGAGTTAAAGCCTGCGGCGCAAGTTCGAGCGGTTACCTGCTTCTTTAGCCTGCGGCGCTAGCTTCAATGGTTGGCTTTATTCGTTAGCATGCGGCGCTAGCTTGAGCGGCTAGCTTCATTCTAAAGCCTGCGGCGCTAGCTTGAGCGGCTAGCTTCGTTCTAAAGCCTGCGGCGCTAGCTTGCGAGGTTAGCTTCATACTTAAGCCTGCGGCGCAAGCTTGAGCCTCCTTATCCCGCGGCGCAATTTTGAAGGGCTAGCTCTGACCTTGGGCCCGCGGCGCTAGCTTGCCCGGCTAACTTCCTTCCGAAGCCTCCTTTCAGAGGCCGGCCTGAACCTGTAGCCTGCGGCGCTAGTCTCAGCGGCTAGCGTCGTTCCAAAGTCTGCGGCGCTAGCTTGAGTAGTTAGCTTGATTCCTTGGCCTGCGGCGCATGCTTGAGAGGGTGGCTTCATCCTATACGCTGCGGCTTGAGTGACTAACTTCATAATAACGTCCCTACACGGAAATCTACTCCGAAACGCACTTTCCGAGCAAAAAGCAAAACAACTACGATATCCGTGGATCGAACCTCCGATGGTTAGATTAGCACGTCGAAACGCTTACCACTACGCCATGCAATGCTTGGCAGCACGCGTCAAACACCCAAGAGGACTGCCCGGGGCAGGGGGAAGGAAAGGCATCGAGAGGCAGATCCAAAGAGACGACCAAACTCGCGAGTGCAACTGGCAAGAATGAGGAAATTTGTATTTTTTCACATTATGCAAATTAGCCTGCCCGGACCCCCAAAAAGGAATAAAACCGGCTTTAACTTTGTAAACTTGTATTTTATCTGGATTCTGAAAGCGCCATCGGAAAGAGGAGGATCGATTCCCCCCGGGTGACGGAGAATTAAGGCATTTTGGACACGGGAAGGCCCTCAAATCGGGCCTCGAAAATTCGGCCGGACACACACACACACACAAAGAAACGCGACCAAATTATATAAGGTAGGATCCCAACGCCCAAAACCCGCTTCGCGGGCCTTGGGCGCTGGAATGCGGCCTTTGCATAAGAAATTAGACTTTCCGATAGCTCGGGTCCTTTGGACCCCTTCCCCCCATCGACCACACACGCGGGTGCAAATTGCAAGAATGAGGAAATTTGTATTTTTTGGATTTATGCAAAGTAGCCCTCCCTGGCACCGGACACACACACAGAGATACACCCCAAAATTATATAAGGTAGGATTGGCAGAAACCGACCCGAAAGTGACCATTTTTGGGGAAAAGTTACTCAAAATCGGCATGCTAGTTACGGAAACATAGACAAAAATGAGTACCAACGTTTCTGAAAAAGCAGTTTTTTTGGCGATAACTGTTTTGTTTTAAATATTTTACTTAGAAAATTCGGCTGCACATAGTTTTTAGGGGTCTTTATCACTGATAAAGATTTGGGATACATGGAAAGCAAAGCAAAAGCAATGGAAAGCGGATTCAGAAACAGCAAAAAAATGGGTCTAATGCCAAAACTTTGGCAAATTGTAATTTTCGGGTTAGCCTACCCATATTTCATGAAAAGATCCGTGAAATATTGTTTTTTGCAGCAAATTCGGCCTCGCGATCATCTATTTCGAGGGCGTCCTTGGATTCGACGGACACCGCAGATTGCCCCGTGCTATGTTGGTCTTGTTGAATTTATGGCCCGGGTTTGAGCTTTCATTTTTTGGGTCGTAGTAGATTTAACCGCTGATAGCCATCTAGAATTGGAAGATCTTTAGGTACACATAGGATAACGGGGGGATAAAATAACGGGGGGCACTCATTATTATGAAATTTGCAATTACTGAGGGATTTTGCGAGTGCCATTCGATAGAGCGTCGAAAAATATACTAAGAGAATTAATTTGAGCCCAGAATAATGTAATGGAAATTTTTTATTGAATAAACAAAAATTGAGGAAAATCTATGGGCAGCATATAGGATAACGGGGGGCGGGGGGAAAGCCAAATATTTGAGAATTGCGATATTTTGAAAACGCGAATCGATAGAACATCAAAAAATATACTAAGAGATTTTTTTACAACGCGAAAAAACGTATTATAAAAGTTTTATAGCCTAAAAACTATTTTTGAAAACTATGGGCAGCACATAAGATAACAGGGGGGATTTTCGGCGTTTTGAATATTTTCGAGATTTTGAAAATGCCATTCGATAGAGGACCGAAAAATATATTAAGAGTTTTTTTACAGCCCGAAAAAAGTTTATTTAAAAATACTTTTATCATATAAAAAGTTTGAGTGCCCCCCCCGTTATTCCCCCCGTTATTCCCCCGTTATCCTATGTGTACCGATCTTTATTTTCCGCTGTTTTTCTTCGCAAAATAGGCAGACGCGACGGCGTTTTTCTTCTTACTCGTCTTCCTGTAATCAAGCATCTCATCTTACTTTCCAGATCTCCACACGGTTCCGAAATGCCTTTTCGACACGATTCTGCAGCCCTTGGATGCGCAGACAGTGCTCAGTATCGCTGGCGTCGACGAAGAGCTGGAGACGCGCGTCGGGCAGGCGCGGAAAAACTGGACGCTGGCCGACCGGGTTCCCGAGGGCTTCATCATCGACTACGAATTCGTCGCCCATCGCTACGCGCTGGCGATGTTGAACAATTCGGAGGTGGCCCACCAGAACCGCGACTACCGGGACAAGATGCCGATTTGCCGCCGCCTGCAGGACTTGCCGCTCGAAATGCTGTGCGTCATCGCCGACGGTTTGGCCGGCGCGGACTACTTTGAGGCTGCCAAAGCGCTGCCCCGCTTCATCTACACGGGGCGTCACGTCGGTGAATATGGGTGAGTGACTATCGAATCATCGCCTATAAATGCTTATTTAAGGCTAGAGTTAGACGGTACTGGACTGTTAGCAAGGGGAAACTAATTTGTATTTTGTCGTTAGTATAGTTGTAGCAAAAACAAAAAGGGGTTAAAAAGCTAGTTGTTAATATTTTTGTTATTTTTTCAAGATTTTCGATACACCATTCGATAGAGCATCAAAAAAATATACTAAGAGTTTTGAGCCTAAAATAATGTAATGTAAAATAGTTACAGCAAAAACAAAATTCAAACGGGATTTCGCTATGGGAACAAGAGGTGCAAAGCTAGTTTTCGACATTTTTGACATTTTTACAACATTTCTTTAACGCGATTCGATAGAGCGTCAATAAATATACTGAGAGTTTAATTACAACCGAAAATAGTATAAAATAAAATAGTTAAGGCAAAAACAAGCTAAATTCGAATAACCGTTCAAACACTTTTTAATTGGATAAATTTTAATATTGATTTTTCGCAATTTCCAGCCAGGGGATAGTAGCTGGGACCGATTGGTGGCCTTAAAAATTGTTTGGGATCTTCCGGCTGAGGGGGGTGGGGGGGTAAACTACACTCTTGCCGAAAACCATAAACTAGGTGCACGGAGGGTTACGGTACTTCCCCCACGTTGCAGGCTGGATCGGGTGAGCGTCCGGGGCATCACCCAACCAGATGGGTCCAAGAAGACCGTGATCCGGGTTGGCGGTCGGCTATACGAAGACGAGATGACGGCGTGGTTGATCAACAATGCGTCGGAGGTGTACTCCGTTGTGTTTGACCCAACGATCGCCTACTTCCCGGACGGCATCCAGCTGGCCAAATTCAACTGCGAATGTTGGAAGCTGCTTCCGGTTGTGGTTGGTTGGATGCAGTGGCAAAGTGTTGGCCCGCGAACCCAGTGCGGCGCCCACGAAAAAATTTGATTCTCAAAAAACAGATTTATGTCGTTTTGTACCCCCTTTAAAAATTCCGAGCTTCTTACGCATTATCGGGGGGGATAGTTTTGAAAAGGTCTGGAAATGTCTCGTAAGTTAATAGAAAATGTTTTAATAGTCTTTTTAGTAATCTATAACTATATTTCTATTAGCAAAGCCACCTAAAAATATATAAAAACTTTGAAAAAATCAAAAATCTTGGTCAAAAATTGAACTTTTTGGTCGAAAAAATATATTTTTGACATTTTTAATATAAATTTGTACAGTTTTCACGTTTAGAAATAGTAAGAAACCATCTAGAAACACCGCCAAAATTTATATTTGAAAAATTAGATCTTAAAAAGTCCCCCCCCCCGATAGCGCGAAAGAACCATTGTTTGTAACGTTAACAGGAGTAATTTAGGGTTTGGGTAGATTACGAATTGTGTTAAACAAAGCCAAATCACGTACAGCATGCCGTTTTCAGACGAACGATCCGATCTGGCCAGGCCTCAACGAGATGATGAAGGCAGCATGCCGCCGCTACCTCGAACTCCGTGGGCCACCCACCAATCAAGCCAAGATGTGCTGGGCCGACGTGCTGAGGAACGGCGGCGCCACCGATCGGGGAATGCGCGGCTGGCTTTTGGCAGAGGTATTTCATTTCGCAGCCCATCTACAGGGTGTCCCAATGAAAAACACATCTCCCCCTCCCTTAACTCGATGCCGAAGTATCGGATCGGAATGTTAGTTACACCATCCGAAAGCACTTGAAACGGCGGGTTTGAAACAATCTTCAAAACCATCTTTTTGGTTTGAACGCTCCATTTTACAACGCATTTAAAAACCGTTAGGAACATTTAAAACCCTGCATGTGATTAACGACCACTTCCCGTCATTCTACTTGGAGAAATTGAGGCAAATTAGCTCGTATTCTACGCCGAAAAATTGCAAAAAAACTACTTCCCCCCCCCCCCCCCGGCACGGTTGTCTCCCCCCCCACCTCGAAATAGAACAGTACCCTATTTACAGATTCAATTTGGAGCAGAGACCGTTGAACATCTGCAGTGCCTTCTTCCGTTCAATGGCTCGGAGTTGCGCATCCGTTGGCAGGGCCCAGCGACCGACCTTCAGCCCATCTGGAATTTCATCCAGCGCGCCATCGCCATGCCGCTTGCCAACTACCAAGAAGTCCTGGTAGGATCACGCCCACTGATGTTCGACAACAGTTTTGGGTAAAGGGCAGACATGGCAACGGGCCCGGCCGCGGGGCTTTTTCGGCCCCAAAAATTTGCATGCGGCCGGGCCGACGGGGCTCGGCCCCACTTCCGGCGGGGCCGGGGCTCGGCTTTGCTCGACGGCCCCGGGATAAGCCAAAATGGGGGCCGAGCCCGGGGCCGCAAGGCCGCACGCTAATCAGAAATCCCGGTTGTAAATCACCTTCAGTCAAAATATTCATGCAAATTGGAAAAAATGATTTTTTCAAAGGTTGCCATACATCTCCATATCTATTGCAGCCAGATCATAACGGGTTCAGACCTGTATTTTAGTACTTTTTGATAGTTGGGACGAATTATTAACCAAGTTCAATGAATTTTACCGATACCGATGTCCTAACAGCCCGAACGCACATAAAATTTTCATTGCAAATTTGCATATTAGCATCCGAATGTAGACGCAAATGAGCTACTCTAGTTTCCGGGGCCGAGCCGAATCGGCCGAGCCCGGCCCCAGAAAAATTCGGCCGGGCCCGGGCTCGGCCCCGCGAATTTGCATATTTTTCCGGGGCCCGGAAGCGGGTGTTTTTTTCACGTTAATTAGATTCCAGGCCCGGCCCCGGGGCTCGGCCGCCCGGAATTGCCATGTCTGGTAAAGGGTGTTAGCAGATTACCTATCAGAATCTCGAATTTCAGAATTTTCCCGATTTCTCAGAATAGCGAATTTTCAGAATCTCGAATTTTCCATAGTTCGCATCAACATTAAAAGTGGCCGGAATTGCACGCTTACGCCCTGTAGCAAAATTCGAGCTTTTGTAAATTCGAGATTCTGGGAATTCGGGATTCTGATTTTCGAGATTCTGAAATCCGGGAACCTGAGAATTTGAGATTCTGAAACCCGAAAACATGAAAACTCGTGATTCTGATTTTCGAGATTTTTGTTAGGGTCACATGTTAGAAACTAGGACCTTGTTTTTCACGAACGTTTGCACTTTTAGGTTTCTTTCTGGCCGGCCCTGCCCCTCGAAGAGCTGCGCGCCGACGTCTTTACCGGATTCCGGATGGTCCCGAGCATGGAGGGAGATCAATGGATCTACACGGTGACGGATAGGGCTCAACCCTTTGAACTGATTCTTCAAAGCAGTCATCTGAAGGTCTGGGGACGGATCTGGTGAGCTAAGGTTTGGCTTGGGCTGGGATTAAGATCAAGTTTAGCAGACGATCAGGCCCAGGAAATGGCTTTGCTAACCGTCCCTTTTCCAGAAGCGACGGCACCTTCAGCCTCTGCATCAATCTCGATGCGTCCACGCCTCCGCTCTTCCATGAATTACGATAATTAACGGCTTCTACGAGTTGATTTGGTGTCTTGTACAACAATTATTGGGTTGAATGTGATGTTTCGGGTTTACAATGAAATAAAATGATTGGATTTATTTTTTTGGGAGCAGCTAGAATCCGAGAGCGGGAGAGACAGAGAGAGACCGAGAGAGCGAGAGAGAGAGAGAGAGAGAGAGAGAGAGAGAGAATGAGAGAGAGCAACAGCGAGAGAGAGCGAGAGAGAGGGAGGGAGAGAGCGAGAGAGAGGGAGGGAGAGAGTGAGAGAGAAAGAGAGAGCGAGAGAGCGATAGAGAGAGAGAGAAAGAGAGAGGGAGCGACAGACAGAGAAAGATACAGATATAAATAAGACCAATCTCCGTTCCACTTCCGGCTGAAGCCACGATCACCTACTATAATTTTGTTGTGGTCTCCGCGTGTCTGTCGAAAGCCGAATTCAACTCGAGGGAGAAAGGAGCTAGAGCTTAGCTCTCTTCGGATTCGGATCGAGCGTGGCCAGACACCCCGAAAATCTAAAAACTTCAGGTTCATATATAAAATTCTATATTTGTAATTTGATAGTAAAAAACGGCTATTTGCACGATTTTGGGCATGGTGAGCCAGGTCGCGCGCGTTTCGGCCAGGGGAAGGTAGCACAATGGGATAGCCGAAGTCCAGCCGGCGCGGCGGCCTGCAAGCGGCTGTTTGTAATATAGGTATTAGCAGCCGCATTCGTAATTTCACAAGCCCAAGGTGTAGTCCGTTAGAACTTGTTTAGCCACTAATTTGGAATTGTTTAGCCACTAATTCTGCTTTACCGTACTGTATTCGAACGGGACACTCCAAATGACACTCAGATGCCTTCAGAATCATGCCAACCGCTTCGCCATGTCATATTCGAGGGGTTCTGTATGGAATCTAAAACGGCGCAGACCAACTAGCTCGTTTAGGAATTGTTTAGCCACTAATTCTGCTTTACCGTACTGTATTCGAACGGGACACTCCAAATGACACTCAGATGCCTTCAGAATCATGCCAACCGCTTCGCCATGTCATATTCGAGGGGTTCTGTATGGAATCTAAAACGGCGCAGACCAACTAGCTCGTTTAGGAATTGTTTAGCCACTAATTCTGCTTTACCGTACTCTATGCGAACGGGACACTCCAAATGACACTGAGATACCTTCAGAATCATGCCAACCGCTGCGTCATGTGATATTCTAGGGGTTCTGTATGGAATCTAAAACGGCGCAGGCCAACTCGTTCGTTTAGGAATTGTTTAGCCACTAATTCTGCTTTACCATACTTTCTTAGGACGGGACATCCCAAATGACACTCAGATGCCTTCAGAATCATGCCAAGCGCTGCGCCATGTGATATTATAGGGAAATATATTATATAACATCAGAATGCAATTCAGCTGAAAACCGAAATCATAACACGTTTATGGTGGATAAGTGATGAATACATTGATTGAATCCAGAAACTACGCTCCACTGTTAGTGATTGTCTGACCGAGTCGACTACGACTCGTATGTCATAATGTCGTCAAGGTCAACAATCTTGCTCTTTGCCCAAAACGCCGCGATCGCATCGAGCATCACCCACTTCTTCATGAGTTGGCGGCTCTCGCGCATCGATCTTTTTCGTAAAACGCCTGCATTGTATTAATTCACACCAAGAACACGACGAACATGGCTCCACCATCGGCCACGACACGCAAGAGTAATTTCAGAAGCCGTTAAAATACTTTATTTTCCGAAGTTCAAGCCGAGCAGAAGTTGAGACAGTCACTGGGCTTAGGAACACATGACAAATTGCAATAAAAAAGGGCGGATGGAAATATAAAAGAATAACATTGGTTCTTTTGATAAATCAAAACCGGAAATATCACAAATCGGTCAGCAAGAAATGAGTGCTAAAAGAGGGCAGAAGCGAATAGGGGCTGAAGTGTTGACAATATAATTATGGCCGGGGAGAAGCGGGTCTTTAGCGTCGCATCAATTCGCGGAGCAGCGACTCGATGCTCAGGCTGTTGTCGTCGAGTGCCGAGATTCGGAACGGGTACTCGGAGTCGGAGTCATCATCCACATCCTCATCATCTTCCGGGAAGAGGAAGTGGCGCAGCTTCGGGCGAACGCGAGACCTGGAAAGGTATGCATTAAAATCGACAACAAAAACATAACAAAAATAAATTTAAAACGTACCCTGGTTCCTCTCCGGGATCAATGCTGCCATCGGGAAGCTGATGCCGATACCAACACTTGTTTCCGAATGGGCATCCCTCTCCCGCCCTGGTCGCACCCTGAAAATGTACATGTAAAATTGACAGAGGTTGTAAAATTGCCACGGGATAAATGTTCCACAAAAACCTACTTTGTAATATCTGCAGATCTTCTGGCCGGTATTTTCTCTATAGTAATCGATGAGCACCTAACAAAAAAATAGGTAAGAAAAAAGATATTGCAAACCTTTTTCTCGTCATCAGTTTCCACCCAAAAGTCCGAGGGGACGACGAAATTCGAAAGAACACGGCATTCGGGGCATGTCCTGGAATAAAATGTTATAAAATTTTGGTAAAGCTGACCTGATAACGTTATTTTGAAACTCTTCCTGCTTACGCCAGTTCCGGATGCAGTCCAGGCAGAAGCAATGGGTGCACTTCTCCAGGATTCCAAAACGGAGCTTCTAAATTAACCTTTAGAAAAACAGGAATTCCCGAACCTTTTCCGATATGTTCTCCAAGCAGATACCGCACGTCTTCTCGGCCGTACGCTGATGTAAGAAAGCCAGCTCACAATCGATCTGGCGAGCGTTTTTGCATTCCTGGAAATATGTTATTGAAAATCGTATATCGCCTACCATTTCGTGCTTGTACCGCTGCTCGTTGTCGAACGGGTGAAGCGCGTTTTTGTTGCAGTACGAGCACATATCGCCGTGCACAAATTCGCACCTAAACAAAACGAAATGAACGGCGTGAAAATACTTACATGTCCTCCTTTTTGCATTCGCCATTCTCTTCGAAATACGGGCACAACGGGCGAATCTGCGGCGATGGACGCGAGCCGGCGGCGCTCGCGTAATTTTTGGCTGAAAAGGAAGTGTTAGAGGTAAAAAGACAAAAGATACGTTGATCAGACGTCACCCATGAAGGCACGAATTCTTGCGCGTTGACATTTAGGCCGGAAGAGCTGGCTTTCTTCTCAAAATCGCAGAGTTGTATGGGCTTCGGCAGCTTTCGGGACCCCGCTGTAAACAAAGTTACGATAGAAAGGCAAGTCCTTACAGGCTTCCGCCACTTTGCGTCCTTGTGCTTCATCTTTCCTCGGCTCTTTTTTTGGCTTGATGTGGTCGTAGCGGCAACGGGTTCCATATTGACAGCTAAAAGAAATTGCTTAACGTACTGGCTGAAATACATACTTTCCCTGCACATAATATTGGCAAATATTGCTCCGCGTCGCCGAAAAATCGTGGCTATTTTTGCACCTGCAAAATCTACGTCAAGACAAATGTGACAAACCTTTCACCGTAGGTACAGGCACCGCTCGCAAAGTATTTGCAAAGCGTCCGTTCGGGTGCCATTCCTGAAAGCACGTATCAGGCAAAATCAATCGCTCAAAGTCCCATGTCAGTTTCCGGGGCAAAAGCTACGCGCGAAAACCCCCAATTGCACTGCGTAAACAGTCCCCCACCCCATGATGAAAAAATTGTTCAAGTTCGCGCAACAGGGTAACAAGCCTAACGCAAATGACTTCCAGCCCAAAGAATATTAGAGCGAACAAAGTCTTCAACTGAAACGCTTTTGTTGTTGTATGCTTTGCGTGGGCATAGATGAGCAAGGTTTTATTCAGCGGGAACGGCACATGGTTATCGTTTATCACAGGTGTCAAAATTCAAAGCACATTTGGGGGCCGGAGCATGGGCTAGCAATTTGGTACACGCGTATTCACAAGGCATAACTGTCGAATGCTGGCGAGACTAGACAGAGTGGGGGATGTTAGAAGATACAATTCACAGGGAGAGGGTAGTAGAAGGGGGCACAATCACATCAGAGCACAAGAAGACTTTGGCTTTTGGCGCGGAGTCTCGGACTTGGTGGGCTTCTGACGGGTCTGACTCTCTTGGGTACGGTGAGCTGAGGAGCGTTCGCGAGACGCGCGATGTTCTTCTTCCTGGAGGGCCCGGGCCAGCCTAATGGAAATAATTTACAAAAAGGCCGGAATTTCTTTACCTCTCATCAGAATCCATTTGCCCCGAAGAGCCCGGCTGGTCGGTAATGTGGTGCTCATCGCTCACGGGGACGTAATCACTCGGGGCAGATGAGTAGGTGCTAGAAAGTAATACGTAAGACGAAACGTATGCGAGAAACTCACCGGAAATCCCAATCGACAAAGTAACAATCACCATCCACATTCGACAACGTCTCCCAGACGACCTGGTTATCGGTTCCGAAGGCCTCGTCGGTACAGAGGAGGAAAAGTTCGTCCTAAACGAGCATGCCAACAATAAAGAAGCAGATTACCCGTCGTTTATAGATCGTAGAGAAATGGTTGTTGCGGAACAGAACTGCCACCTCGTTATCCTGCAGCTCATGGTTCAAGCGTTCGAGGCCTAAAAAAAGAAAATTGTTGTCTCAAAACAAAAAATATTTGATACCATAGTAAGTCAGCTGGCTTTTCGTGCTGTCCAAGAATTCCTTGATGATCAGCCCGTGGTTGGAGGCTTCCAGTGCCTTGATCGCTGCGTCAACATACGAGCGTGGTTCGAGCAGCTCGCCTAATCAAATTTCAGATAGGGAGAAATCGCCTACAGAGCTCGGTGAGCTGCGGATCGGGGAGCCATCCATGGACCAGGCGCACGTCGACCAAGGAAAACAGCTTGAGCGCCGAAGTCAACTCAAAGTCCTAAAAACGGATGTGGGCGAAAAATACAAGCGAAATACCGTGATGTTCTTGAAGCCTAGGCCCACAACAAGACCTTTGCAGAGGCCAGAGAGAAGGCGGAGAACGTCGTCAATCCCGCGCTCACGCTCGCCTTCCAACTGCTCGTCGTACTTCGGAGAAAGCCTGAACGAGTAAATTAGAAGAGCAGATAAAGCATACGCTAGTAGAGCTTCGGCTACCAGGTTCATCAGCCGTTCCAGCGAAACGGTGCGGCCGGCTGGAATTTTGAGATGCCCTTTCAGGGCCAGCGCGTTGACGACAGCGAGCAACGGGCAGGGCCCGTTCTTGCTCTGCAGTGCGATTCGAGGCGACTCGGTCAAGAACCGGATCTCTTTGACCTAAAAAGAAAAACTTGACGCAGACACGATCCATACGTGAAAGTGGATTTCCGGAACCGGCTCGTCGACGATAAACATAGAAGTCGTCATTGGCTTCGGCTCGGGCTTCGTTGGAATAGCAGAGTCATTGGCGATGGGTTCGGCAGGCCCGTTCATCTAAACAAGTTGCAGTTAATGCCAGATAAGTGTTTGGATATACCTCATCAGAAAACTCGATGAGCGCCTTGTTGGGAGACTGCTTCGAGCTGTTCTCGATGAGCTCGAAATCGTGCTTCGGGTCGTCCGGCAGCAGCACCTTGCTGTCATCCAGGGGTTCCAGCCCTTTGATCAGTCCAGAGTCGTCACTAACACGGTCGTAGGAATCATCAGGGCGTGGTTCCTTCTCGAATCGGATGAATTCCTCATGAGCGACCGGGCCTTCGTAATCTCTTTCGACTTGAGCCATCATCTCCTGCAGGATCGCCGTGGTGTGTTGGTGGTGGCTCGAGTCCATGTCGCTCTGCATCGCATCGAGCTCCTGAAAAAAAGTTTTTAGGAAAAACATAGGAAAATACCATCGCAACAATTGGATACTGGTCGGGCTCGGCTTTTGGGCTAATGGAAAAAATTCCAGCCTGTAGCACCTCGATGTCGCCGTTGCGTGAGTAGTTCGGGCCATACGGCGACACTTCATTTTCGCGAAGATCCTTTTCGTTAAAGCTTGGCGTCTTCTTCCCGCTTTCGATTTGCGTTTTGTCGACGGAGAGCAGCGACTCGTTCAAGCTGCTAAAAGCCGGGCTTACAAACAAGGCCGAAAAATTACTTTTCTTTGTTTTCTCCATCGGAAAGCGGGCATCCGTCCTCGCGCTCGACCAAAACGTTCGATTCCGGGTTCTCGACACGCTCCATACTACCTGAAATGCTTTTTATTACCAAGGAAAAAGCCGGGTATCCAAAAAACAACAGTTGAAAGTTAATTTCATCAAACAATGGAAGCATATGAAAAGACATTGTAATACAATAAAGGAGGGGACCCGTGAAAGCGAAAGATCATTCTATTGCTGCTTGGCTTTTGCTGCGCTCCGAGCGAGCATCTTGGTGCGCTGAAGGTGTGCATACGCCGGCTGACGTTCTTCGGGCTTCGGCTGGTTGCCAACTTGCGGGTTGCGGGGAACACAGGGCAGCTTGTACATGTTGATCAGGACAAACTCGGCGTCGCGAACCTCCAACCTAGGAGAGCAATACAAACACGATGATGGGAAATACCTGTGGTTAGTCTCGCCTTGTCCAACGCCGACTTTCCCGCGATGTTGCGCCAGTACGCAGACTTTGTCGATCAGCTCTTCAACAAAGTTGTCCGCGTGTTCTATGATGAGGTCCTGGACGTTGTCCTCCAGGATGATCCGCGAGTCGATTTGTTTGGCGATTTCATCTAGCTTCGCCTTCTCGATCAGCTGCGGTCGAGGCTCGAGCACATGTGCCTAAAGCAAAAATATTGCCAACATCGTGAAAATCACTTGTGACTGCGGCTGCTGCTGTTGCTGTTGCGCCGGCGGTATCGTGGGCTGCGGTCGAGGGGCCGGGGGACCTTGGGCACGCTGGATCGGCGGGCCCATTTGTCGTTGTTGCGTCACCATTGGACCCATCATGCTGCCCACCGGTCTTTGTATAAATTGTCCTTGCATTCGCGGACCCTGCATCATCGGCTGTTGCATCGGCCGCATTTGCTGACCCTAAAAAAAAGTTTAATACAATTGAAAATCAAAAAAAAAGCAAGCCGAAAACCTCACCATATGCATCGGTTGACCATGATGCGGATTCTGTTGCATGGGTCTTTGATAGGGGGTAAGCGCTGGGTTCGACAACCGAGGTCCGGGTCCGGGTCCCATTCGCATCGGGCCTGGGCCGCCCATTTGCTGCTGCATCACACGAGGCGGGCCCTGCTGGTTCATGTAGCCGCCGGGGCTCGGTGCGCCCTGCTGCTGGTTGAGCGCGGCCATCAGTTGGGGCGATTGTTGCGGGTGGCCCGGGGATTCTTGCATCCCTGAAAAGCTAAATGAAAATGACAGAGAAATTAGAAAAATGTAGAAAAAGAGAACCGGACAAATGCACTGGAAAAATTCATGCAAGGCCGCGGAGGAAATCAGCAACTTGGAAAACCAGAGAAAGAGTGGAAGTGCCGGAATCCGGCCACGAATCCACGACATTCCGATTTACGCCGAGCGCTGTTTAGGAAACGCAATCAGGGATCGACGGGCAAAACCCGTAAAAAGTTCTTCAAAGCCGTCTTTTCAAAAACTTTATTGTCCACATAATGCACGACTAGAACCCGATAAAGCACGATTATGGCCGAGCCGAAAATACAACCTAGAAAAGACACGAAAGAAATCATAAATAGAACAACGCGCTGCCAAGGAAAACGGCAGCAGCTCCAAAATAGTGGAACGAGGTGAAATGGTTTTCGAAAAAATATATCGACAATTGCACGGAAAGGGCTTTTCGGATGGAGAGCAGCATCGTCACTTCCAGCGATGATCGGATCGTGGCGAGGCGAAACACGGAGGAGGAGCAGAGTAGGCTAAAATCAAATTATTTTTCAACAGCATGAAACGTACTGCAAAAAGCTTGTCCCGGCGACGATTACCCAGATGGGAACGGGAAAGTCAAGGATCTAAAAAAACACAATAAGGATTTGCTAGGGATTATACCTGAATGTCTTCCGATAATGCCGTCGATCTCGCGGCCGCGTAAATCTTGTCGCCGACCAACGCAAAGCCGGGCAGCGAAAGGAAATGCTAGGAACAGGTAATGTATAGGAAAGGTTTGCGTTACCACGAAGAACAGGGCTTCTTGATGATGCCTTCCGTATGTGCGGAACAAGTCTTCTTGCATGATGCCCAGATACGCGCTGAGCACCAGCGCCGTCGACATCAGCAAAACGCCTAAAATCAATCCTACTATATATCCTACCTTATATAATTTGGTCGCGTTTCTTTGTGTGTGTGTGTGTGGATGTCACTTTCGAGGCCCGATTTGAGGGCCTTCCCGTGTCCAAAATGCCTTAATTCTCCGTCACCCGGGGGAATCGACCCTCCTCTTTCGGATGGCGCTTTCAGAATCCAGATAAAATACAAGTTTACAAAGTTAAAGCCGGTTTTATTGATTTTTGGGGGTTCGGGAAGCAGTGTGCGAAAGAATTTTCAGATGGCCAAATGGACCAGCGCCGGGGGTTGGCTGACAGGGGTTAGGACCAGCGCCGCGTTAGCGGCAAGAATTTTTGTGGCTTTTTGGGTCAATATCCAAAAAAATAGCGAAAATAAATGTCGGCTTCCTGGATGTTCTGTAATTTAATGTTGTTGCGCTGCTTACAGTTCTTTCTTCTTTCTTTTACAGTACGAAAAATGGCGCATGAAAATTTGGGCAGAAATCGACACAGGAAAAAAATTTGCAATGCCACGACGGCCCCAGAAGTGACGGCGCTGGTCCCGAAAAGCCCTTCAAAAAGTCGGATGAAGCTGAAACTTGGATGAGGGAAGAGAAACTGGAAACTCGTTTAGGGAAAAATTGGGATGGATCGGCCATGGAGTAGAGGGTAGCATGCAATTGAATGGATTTTTCCCATATAAACGGCAAAAACCGCCGCGTCCAATTAGCGCCGGTCCATAACTCAGCGATAACGTAATGGATCAGAACGGTTGATACTAGTTAGAAAGAGGAAAGACCGGGCTTTCAGCCGACTAGAAGTTCTAAGTGGGAAAATTGAGACGGAGGGCGCAAAAAGGAAAAACGGAACATCTACCGATCCCACGGCCAATTAAGGCGACCAGTCGCTGGTCGATAGCTACAGGCGGAAGCAAATGGGCTAAAATGGTTTTGTCAGATGATGCCAGTACCAGAGGCTATTCGGCAAGCAAGTTTGGTGGTGATTGATTGCCCTTTCGGGGACCAACGGGGACCAGAAGTGGGGGCGCGGCCAAATGAGCTGTTTCCGGAGGTGAAGCGGCGCTGGTCCGGAAAAAGGGTTTTAAACTGGAAGCAGGCTTTTGCTTTTTTGGCAGTAGTTGGGCAGACCCTAGACCTAGCCTGACTACAAATTTCAAACCGCTAGCGCCAAGGACGGGGTAGTTAGAGCATTTTCAAGGGATTCACCAGCGTGCACCGGGATGGGGGCCGATAAAAATTATTTCTCCGCATTCCACTGGCCGATCTTGACCAAATTTTACCCAAACCTTGATCGGGGAAATGTGTAATGCTCATCTAATTGCCAGCTTGGTCCAAGCCGTTCACCCGTAACGAGCGTTGTCACATCCATACCCACCATGACCGATCATACTTTACTCCTTTGCCGACTTCTGCCGAAATTTTCGTCCATGATTTTTCGTGGTGTCGTATCGTTACTATGATTTAAATGGTGGAATTTTTTAGAAATAGTTATTGAGAACTCCTTACCTCGCAGATAACATATATCGATAACACTATATTTTTTTTGCCATCATGGCGCCGTAGGCGCCGAAAAATCGCGATTTAACTAACCCTAGGACCAGCGCCTAGGGCCATTTTTGGGACCAGCGCCGACCGCCCCACGGCCAAACCCTTCGCACACTGTTCGGGAAGGCTAATTTGCATAATGTGAAAAAATACAAATTTCCTCATTCTTGCCAGTTGCACTCGCGAATTTGGTCGTCTCTTTGGATCTGCCTCTCGATGCATTTCCTTCCCCTGCCCCGGGTAGTCCCCTTGATCCATAAAGGGGGGGAAAGTATTTCCGGGGGGGGAACCAAATTTTTTCGGCCCAAGCCTAAATTTTTTTCTAAATAGCGCATGCGTTTCTAAATGGTTTTTAACTATTCCTGAGCATAAAAACTACCCACATTTTAATTAAAAAATTTAATTTTAGGTCGAAAAATCCTATTGAACCTTTAGGATTAGCGGGGGAAGACCCAAAATGACCAATTTTCACTTTTTCAAACATTTTTCTACTTTTTTGAAAGGTTTTCTACTTTAAATATAGTTAAAATTTACTAAAAACAATGTGAAAACACTTTCTATTTGATTACTAGGTCAACCGGGAAAACCAGGAAAAAAATTTGGTTTCCCCGGAAATACTTCCCCCGGAAATCCTAAAGAACCGATATCGTAGTTGTTTTGCTTTTTGCTCGGAAAGTGCGTTTCGGAGTAGATTTCCGTATAGGGACGTTATTATGAAGTTAGTCACTCAATCCGCAGCCTATAGAATGAAGCTACCCGCTCAAGCATGCGCCGCAGGCCAAGGAATCAAGCTAACTGCTCAAGCTAGCGCCGCAGACTTTGGAACGACGCTAGCCGCTGAAACTAGCGCCGCAGGCTAAAGGTTCAGGCCGGCCCCTGAAACTAGCGTCGCAAGCTTCGGAAGGAAGTTAGCCGGGCAAGCTAGCGCCGCGGGCTTTAGAACGAAGCTAGCCGCTCAAGCTAGCGCCGCAGGCTATAGAACGAAGCTAGCCGCTTAAGCTAGCGCCGCAGGCTTTAGAACGAAGCTAGCCGCTTAAGCTAGCGCCGCAGGCTTTAGAACCAAGCTAGCGGCTCAAGCTAGCGCCGCAGGCTTTAGAACGAAGCTAGCCGCTCAAGCTAGCGCCGCAGGCTTTAGAACGAAGCTAGCGCTCAAGCTAGCGCCCAGGCTTTAGAACGAAGCCAGCCGCTCAGCTGCGCCGCAGGCTTTAGAACAACTAGCGGCTCAAGCTAGCGCCGCAGGCTTTAGAACCAAATTAGCGGCTCAAGCTAGCGCCGCAGGCTTTAGAACGAAGCTAGCCGCTCAAGCTAGCGCCGCAGGCTTTAGAACCAAGCTAGCCGCTCAAGCTAGCGCCGCAGGCTAACGAAGGGGGTTACCGCTCAAGCTTGCGACAGGCTTTATCTCGAAACAAACCGCTCTAGCCTGCGCCGCTGGATGAGGACCTAGCCGATCAAGCATGCCCCGCAGGCCTAATAACGACACTAGCAATTTAAGCTTGCGCCGCATAAGAATACAAAGAGGTTTGCATGGGAGATGTGTTTTTCTTTCTTCAGGGTAACTTTGTGTAAGGGCGCTCGATTCATAGGGCCTAGACGGGGTCCAGCGGGGGAGAGTCGCGAAGCGGCTCCTCCCCCGCTGGTAAAAAAATAGTTTCTGTGTGTGTGTGTGGACACTTTGCATAAAAACCCGGGTTCCAGCCATAACTCGAAGGGGGGAGGATTTTATGGTTCAGAAATAAAGTGGTTAGGGGTAATCGAGGGCGTAGATTACTGCGCGCATATCAGATTTTTACTAAAATGACGTTTTATACCTTATTTTAGCGATTTAAAAACATATGGAAATAGACTAATTTGCATACGGCTATTAATTCGGCTCATTCTGGGCTTTGCGGGGTTCCGAGTCGGTTGCTCAAGTAATTCATGCAAATTATAATATGCAGTCCCCGAGTATCAAAGGGCCCCGCAGAGAGACCAGGGTTGAAAAGTCGCGAAGCGGCTTTTCAACCCTGGTTATAACTGTATTTCGTTATCCGAAAAACTGACCGATCCAGAAGGCGGGGAACGGCAGCCATCGCGTCCACTCTGGCGGCTGGGCCGACCATGCCGGTCGCTTGAGTGAAGAGGCCAACGTGAAGATGGCAAGACCTAGATGTCATTTAGAAATCGATGAAAAGCGACGTGCCTATTGTTGTCACAAGAATGGCGCAAATCTTGGACCATGAGTGCGTCTGTCGTCGTATCACCCTGGCGAGCAGGAGGTTGGCCAGCAAAGAGCCCTAGGAAAGGTATATTAATGCCGAAAAAAATTCCTACCGATTTAAAAATGATGAACAACGGCATGCTGACGTCAAAATATAGCGAGTAATTGTTCGCTTGATTGACGATGAAAAATAGGACGACCATTGCCATATATTCTCTGGAATTAGATGTTTAGAAGTTACTTTTTTATGTTATTCCAGGGCCGTCATTGAAAAACAGAAGCTATATTTTAGAATTTGGCTCACCTTGTGGGTATATGTTGTCGTGCCCCGATCATGCGCTTCTCAAAAATTATTCCCTTGGCGGAAACGAGGATGAAGGCGATGAACGTCATCAGATGGATTCCGCCCTCAATTTCCCTGGAAAATACAGTCAAAATAAAATGGTTAGATCAAATACCTGTGAATATACTCGGTTCCGGCTTGACATCCAATACACGAGCTGAGGACGGTCGCTCCAGGCGCCAGTGCCGCCATTTCTAAGAATTTTTTAGGGTTTTAGCAACCTGTTAAGACACAAGAGGAGGTCCAGAACGGTCCATGAATACGTATTTTTCGTGATAAGCCTGACGACTCTTTCATCAGTGGCCGCCGGAAACGCTTACGCTGCCTAAATTCTCAAGCAGTCAGCCGTTTGGGGCGTTATTTGGCGCGCGGTGTCCTAGCCGTGCCGCTATGTGAAAAGCGCTGGGCCGGGTGGAGCCGCTTTGGGTTGCAAAGACGATCTCGAAGCTCTATTTTCGCTCTGTAAAATAGATTTTAATCGATCAAAATTGTATCTGGAATCTATTGCCCTGTACACTAGTGCCTGCATACTTCGAAACTACCTTGAATCCCATTTATTTCTCGTATAAGTGGTAACCGGAACAACGGGCATAAATAAAACAAGCACGAGAATTATGCCGGGGGTAAAAACTGTACAAAAAAGAAGCGATACCAGAATAGAATTGTCACAAGAGCATGGGCGCAGGCTGAAAGATATCTAGCTTTGACAGTTCGATGGCTGGCGGAGGCACTTATCGACAGCGCAAGTTTTACACACAAAAAATCATCACAGTCAGTCGTTGACGAAAAACATGGAAAAATTGGGGGTCTTTGGAGTGAGTATGCAAATCGGTGCTGGTAGTTCTAACCTATGGGCTTGATTGGCCAGAAGTGAGGTGACGAGACGCGCCATCGAACACCTGAAAAATCGAATTCCACAATTTACTCAAAGATTATGCAATTTTTGCACAGAACAAAAACCCACCGATTGCAACGAGAATGCGTCGGCCGTCAGCTCGCAGATCTCGCGGTCGCTCCAAGATTGGGTGGGCAAGTTTTGCAGTAGAATCATGACGCCCTAAAAACATTTAAATAATGAATTTTGACCATTTCAGACCTGGAAATCCTTCTCGCTCTGCAACTGCTTGCTCCACGTTCGCAGAAAAGCGGCGCAGACGTAGTTGTGGAACTGGGAGAAGCCGTTGCGTTCCGCCTAAAAGTTGCCCGTTTTCAATTTATTGAATGAAAAGAAGTCGGAAATCCTTTGCAATCATGAATACGTACCAAGTACGTATCCCAAAGGCGAATCGTGGCTCGCAGCGGAATCTCCCTCATCAGCAGGTTGTTCATCCACCGGAACGAGAATTGGAGGTATTCCACTTGGTTGCTCTCGAGATGCACGTGTAGGGGGCCTGAAAATTGGATTTTTGTATTTTTGACTACTTATTTTGGTACTACTAAACCATAAAAATATAACTATTTTTTGGTATTGGAAAAACTCACGATCAACGCGTGACATCAGATGCTTGAGCTGCAGCACTTTCCGCTGGATGCCGGGCTGCGAGAAGGTGTAGTTGTCCTGGATAGAGTCGAGCAGGGATGATACGCACCTAGAAAAAGAAATTCATTTCCGGCGATAAAGCTTACCAGAAACTATCAGCTTCGACGAGTTCGATTTGTTCACGTGGTAGTTGGGATACGTCGAAGGTTCCAACCTAAAGAATTATTTTAATACATAGAAAGATATCATGAGACCACAACAATATCGTTATTATACTACACAAATCATCCATCTTTATAAAATTTACCTCAACGTGCTGCGGGATGAATTCGCTGAGGAAGACGACAAAGAACGGCGTCACCAGGTCGTTGATACCTTGCACGTAGCCGCTGGCCGGGTGTCGAATGGCCCAGATGTACAAGATGCGCTCGAACATCTAGACAGATTGCAAAGAACTCTATTTCGGCACACCTCTTGGACCAATTTTTGTTGGAAAAGCGGAATCAACGGGCACATCCGGGGTATATCGATGTGGATCTGAAAATTGGGCGTTAAAAGCTGCATAAAAAGGTGTAGCTGGGGGAACAAACCTTCAAAAAAAAAATACCTGTCTAAACGTATCATTGTGGTGATCGTCGAAGCGAGTATGGAAGTACTGCTCGACATAGTGCCAATATTCTTCGCGTTTCCGTTGTAGCGTGATCTCGCGGCGGGCTTGATTTGGAGGAAGGTAGCCCTAGAAAACAAATAATATAAAAGTATCGAGGTGTATCGAGGTAGTTTTCGCCTGATTTTCTGATCCAAGTATTAAAAAAACTATAATTTTTTTAAATACGGCATGCGGTGCTTGAGAAGAGTTTTTCCAAGGCTAAAATTTCCCCGGGCAAAACACTCACCGATAAAAGCCGCCATGCCGTCGGGCGTAATTTATGTGGGATGCCCATCCAACAGTCGTCCCGCAGCCGTTCCATATCTATAGTACGGATTATTACAAAGGAAAAGCCTCAGGAATCTATGTTAAAAAATAGCTCACCAATTTCTCCGGGTGGTGAACCGGCTCGGCCGCCATTGCTGTTCTTCCGGGCCGCCAGAACTTTCCGTAGTCTTTCGAATCGCGCGGCATCGCGATCCTTGCCTGAAAAAACATAGGTTGAATTCGAAATATCAACTGAAATTTCTGCAAAATTAGAGCGGCGAGCCAGCCCTTGTAAAAACACACCTTTATCCGGATGCAGCTTGTCATCAGTGGAAATCTCGGGGAGTCTTGGGTAAATTGGCGAGGGCGTTACTTGATTGTGTTGTGTGGGTGTTGAGGCCGATGGCAGGGGCTCTAAAAAAAGAATAAAATAGCCTTAAATTATCTGTAAATCCTCAATCATAATTTAAAATTACAAAACAAACCTTTCTGAATGGCGAGCCGTTGCATAGCTTGCGTCTTGCTGTTCTTTGTCGGCGCAGCGCTGACGGGCGGCATGATCGTATCATCCCGGGAGGCGGCATGTGCGGCAAGGACGGCGGCCGCGCTGGCACAGGCTGCTCCCTGGTCCAGCACCACGCGCGAGTCCCACGCATCTGATACGCTGAAAACCAGCGATTTATACTGGTCAACGGTTCATAAATGTATTTCTCTGTTTCTACGGACACATTTTCGATGCATTTTTCAAGTTGCGCTCCTTTCTTGGAACCTCTAGTTTTCAAAGATTTTAAGAATACGAGAAGGTTATGCTTGGGTAATGAAAAAAAGCCTAAACATAACCCCAAACTAAAGGATCCCTAGCGAAATCAATTTAAAAGGACTTCTAGCAAAACTAAGCCTAAAATGCTCGAAATTACAGGCCTTCCAACTCGAAAAGGGCCCGATTTCCACCCCGACACACCTATTCTCATAGTCGGCAAACTTGTTGTGCGGGCTCGGCTTGGTAATTGGGCTACTTTTTACCGGGCTGCCCGAGATGCTCTGCAGTGGGGGATACTGGGCCCCGTACACCGGTCGGGCACTAAAAAACCGAAATGCTAGGGAATGGCAGGGGTTTCAACCTGCCCGGCGTCGAGGTGGTGGACCAGCCGTTTCGACTCATCGCGTAGAAGAGGGATTCGAGTATTTAGCAGTTGGGCATTTGGAACGGGATTTCTAATCGAGTTGTTTTTCGCCCGATCAGAGTTTCCGCTTTTCCCCTAATCGGGTCCAGCTCACGGGGGCCGGGGAAAGCGCGGGGTACCGGTGTGCGGTGGATGGTCCCGTAGTGTTTTGCTAGGGGGGCAACGTGGATGATACTGTTTGTTTATGTCTGTTTCTTTCCACATTTAAAAATTAGTGTTATTTAAAAAAAATCTGATACAGACGAAAAAACCCACTCATTATTGTTGATCTCCATCTGGTGCAGCTTCTCGTCGATCTGTTTGAAGCAGAGCCCCGCACACATCAGCATTTTCTGGAAAATACCGTATCCTATAAGTTTGCAAGTCTGACGTCATTTTTAACGAGCTGAAGGGCGATAAGACTTACAGAGCAACACGGCATTGTGAAATTTCGGAAACTCCGACAGAATTTTGTTGTTATTACTCGGTTCTGGCCAATTGCCCCCCCGTAAATATTGCTTTTCGGACCCCATTTTGAAGTTCTAAGTTTCAGGCTGGGTGGAAAGGTCAGGGATCTGGTGTCAATTATCGGAATGTAGGCAAAAAAAACATATTTTCTCGTATATTTGGAGACTGAAAGCGTAACTGCATTGAAGGCGTAGGCGACTCAAATTCTTGATTTCGCGGCTTCTAGCCACGTTTCTGTAAGCTTTTCCCCAGCTTCATTGTATCTTCGTAGCACAGCCCACACCCACGCGCCGCGCCAAAAATGGCCAACGCTCTTGAAGAAAGCCTAGACTGGCCGTTCGGCCGGTTCCCGACGGAATGTCCGCAAACAGTCCGCGGTACATCGGGGCCGACTGGGGTGTCGGGGGTGGTGGTTGCAAAAAAAACGGCAACACGGGGATGGTCAATGGTTTCAGGTGTTTTTTGGGTTTAGCTTGGGAATTAGGAAGATTATACTTTTTGACGGACACATCATTGATCCGGAAAAAAATGGGGAGGCGGTTCTCAAATGCGCCAGGATAGGTCTGGTCCTAAATGGCCTCTGCTATACAGTACTGGGCCCGGCCGTACTTTTTGGTAAAATCGGTCATTATTAGGGAAATTGTATTTTTCCTGGTTTTTGACTGCTAGAAAACAACAAAAAAATACTTTGATTTTGTCATTTTTCAGACATTTTTGACCAAAAATCAAAATTTTTCCGAAATTGAAATAATTTTTGGCAGCTTTTTTATCGAGAAGCTGTGTAAAATGCTATAAACATGGTTTATATTTTTTATGGGACCCTCCAGGATTACTGGGAAAAATTAGTTCCCCCGCTAATAGTCCAGTACCAGGCAACCTAGCAGAGGTTTTGAATGAACCAATAAAAGTAGGCAATACAAAAGAACTCGCTAAAAAAGACCAGCGAACTTCTGCCCCGGCCGCGACACGCAACGCGACCTCTCGCGCGTGGCGCTTGTTAGGATGATGCGCGCAAGGCAAATGTTAAATGACCCTGATTTTAAGCAAAAATCTTTTAGAAGAAGCTATTTTTGGAAAATTTCAACGGAATTTGAGTGAATCGAGCGTTCATCGAAAAATGCCCCGAAGACGCCGCCGAACATGGTGATGCCGACGGGCCGTCGTCGGCTTTGGTGTTGACTTCCCGAAGCAGGACACACACACAAAGCCCCCCCTTTCCGCCCCAAAATAGGCGACCAGAGAAGGGGGGCGCATGCGGAAAGCCGCGTACAGCTAAACCAATAGGGTGGCTGGGGCGAGGGACCTGTGCCGCTTCTCATTGTACCCAATTCACTGAAGGGTGAGGGTATGGAAAAATAAAGTATGTATCGCCTTATCAGAATCAAGGGCGGGAAAAAGCGTATCGATTTTGCTATTAAAATTTTTAACGAAAATTGAGACGATAAAAAAAAATCCAATTCCCGGTCCAAGCACGTCTTGATTTTGCTGCTGAATAAAATTAAGTTTTTGTGGATTTTTGGGTTCTTTCGCATTATCGGGGGGGGGACCAACTTGCTTTTTCGTGCTTTCTTGCTTTTTTTTACTTTTCTGTTTTATTTTTCTGATCTAAATATGGGATGTAAAAAATTCACAAAAATTGACAAGTAAATATAAAAAAAATCGGAAATCTTTATTTAAAAAATATTTTTCGTCCAAAAAGGGCCGATTTTCGACCAAAATTTTATTTAAAAATTTTTGGGCTTCTGGGTTTTTTCGATTGTGGCGAAATTTGTGAACAGGGGTCACCTTATTCCTTAAAAATTCCTTGCCTCATAAATTTCAATTCCTAGAATTCTACTCCAAATTAGAAATTTTCTTTGCTATAAAAAGCTAGGGCGAGTAGATCCAATCTGTGATTACAATCTTTTTTTGTAGAGAAATTAAATGCCGAGACTATAAAACTTACAATATGCTCGCACAGCGACATCTCCGCAAAAATTAGCACAAGTAATTTTAGGGGCCCAAAAACAGCTCTGGCACTGCTTGCACAAAGTTGCTTTCCACCAAATTCAGGACCCGCCGTGCTGTTTTTTCGCGCAAAAGCCAAATAAACAGCTCCGTTTTTTGGGGGTGTCGAGTTGGCTGGGCAGTGGTGGGTTCAGAAAAGCCGTCCATTTCAATCCGCTGGGGGGTCAGCGGCAATTTTGAAAATGTTTGAAAGGGGTTGGTAGAGTGTGGTTGAAGCGGAAATAGATTTTGATCTTTTATCGGCGGGGGTGTGCAGCCGGGGCTTTTTGCAATAGTGGATTTTTGAGAGGGGAGTCCGAAGATCCTATAAATTCAGACAATTCTCCGTTTTAGGGCTTACAAGGCACAAGGCTTCTTGGTGCCAACGAGAGAGAGAGAGAGAGTGTGAGAGAGATAGATAGAGCGAGAGAGATGGCTAGTGGGAGAGCGCAGAGAGGAGAGGGGAGAGAGAGAGAGAGAGAGAGAGAGAGAGAGAGAGAGAGAGAGAGAGAGAAAAGTTGTTGTAACGATTATACATTTTCAAAGGTTTTGCCTAGCTAAAGCCTGCTCCAATGTCCCTTTAACGGCCTACTGTAGCTATCCAAGCAACATCTTGAAGGTACCGGGAAGTGACAAGGGCTGCCTCTGTGTATGGGTGTATGCCGGAATGGGATGGAAAAGACGATCTTGGCACATTCAAGGCCGGACAAACAGTGACTTCCAGGGGGGACAGGGCACACGACGACGGCAAGGGCATTCAAGATGCCGGGGAAAGCGAACGGTAGGGTAGGCGTGGTAGGGGGACATGTCCTCTTCACACCTATGTACGCGGCTGGCTGACTGACGAATGGACATACCATCCCTCCCATCCACTACTCCAAACGGTCAATTGGATGACGGGGGAGGGGGTGCGGCATGTCCAACGAGGCGCCCCTTCTGGAGACTAGTTTTGGTCGGGCAGAAGAGGTTGGCGAGGGTAAAAATTACATTTCCCTGGCTTATTTTGGAGATTTCGGATTCATATGCCAAAAGTCATAATGCCGAAATTTCATAATATCGAAATTCCGTAATGTCGAAATCCAGAAAACCGGGGTTTTCCGGGACGTTACCCTATGCAAATTTCGACATTATGAATTTCGACATCATGACATTTTCCAGTATCCATGCTATAGTTTTAAAGTAACCTAATGCTCCATATTAGTAAATATACTTTTTGGCTTGTGTGATAAGGGGGGTTTTCATCGAAAAGTGTGCAGATTCTAAAAAGATATAAAAAGTAAATTTGGTGCATCTTCCGGATACGGTAGCAAATTCTTAATTTTAAAAAAGTACAAAAGGATCTTTTCTGCCTTGCTATTCCCTTTAAAAAGGAAAGGAATATGACACGCTGGCATGGGTTCGAAAGACCAGAGTCCCAGGGCACCAACCAACCGGAAAACCCCGGGGTCGACTGCAAAAGGGTGCAGGCGGCCGGATTTGAAGGGTGGAGGGGAATAGGGGAGGAAGTGGGTGGTGTTGATCTGGTATCAGAGACCAGTTCTCATCACAAATACCCCACACCCACACCCACACGTGAATAAGCTGTAAGAAGGTGGAACTTTGAACCAAGGGGTATCTCAAAAATGCGTAGAGAGCGAGAGAGCGAGATAGAGAGTGAGAGAGCTAGAGAGATAGCTAGAGAGAGCGGGAGGGAGAGCGAGAGAGAGCGAGTGAGAGCGGGAGAGAGAGAGAGAGAGAGGGAGAGAGAGAGAGAGAGAACGAGTGGGCGAGAGCGAGAGCGAGAGCGAGAGAGTAAGTGCGAGAGAGAGTGAGAGAGAGAAAAGGAGAGGGTAATAGCTCGCAAAAAAAGATAATTAAAAACATACTAAATCTAACAAAAACATCAAAATTTCCAGTATAGAGGTCTCCCCCCGTCGGGGCTTTCGTTTGTCCAAATCTAAACGGACACTCCTATGTACTGCTAGAGGTCGTCTTTTTGGGACACCTCGCATAGGTAAAATGGTCCACACCCCGGGTTATTCCAGCGTAATCCCAAGTTCAGCCACCATCCCCTGAGGCCCCTAACTGGTCACTTTGTGCACCCCGTAAAAAGAGCGGATTTTTACTTTGGGCGACTCAATGTTTTGTGAGGGTCAACATAGAGAAGAAGGAGAGGAGGAGAGATCGGACTCTGTGACTGTCAACTGGAAAATAGAGGAATCTCGGCCTGAGGGGGGCACCATCCCGCACTGTGTCAACAGTGAAAAGGGCCCACAAAGGGCCCAAACCCATGGCCCGCCCCGCTCGATGGGGAGCCTGTAGAATAGGACGAGGCCATCTACGGGGGGGGCTCGAATTTTAAGCACAAAAAACAAATAGGCTGGCGGGTAAAAAAGGGACCCTGTCTGACCGCCGGATAATCGAATCGCCCAAAAAATGGGGTTAGCATTATTTGATTTTTTGGTTCTTTCGCATTATCGGGGGGACCAATTTGCTTAGGATCCAGTTTTTCCAACATTTTATTGGTGGTGTTTCTAAACTATTTTTTACTATCCTTAAACCGAAA